TCTACATAAACATGCAGAGATATTTTTGCCTAGTGCACTGTAACTTTATTTTGTTCATGTATTTTCTTTAATGAAAATAAACAATATATTCTTTTTACACAAGTCTTCATTTTGATTGTTGATGTCTTCCGCAATTCAAGATCTGTGGGCCAATACACCACCCACAACAAAAGAAAGAACTACATTACAAAATAAGATGACAAAGAATCAATAAATATGCAAGATTGATAAATGCCTCAATAAGCCTAACATAGAATTGATCAAATTAAAATCTTTAAGAACAAATATGTTTAAGAAACCAAAATATCACCAAATGATTATAATAATAGGAACGAATAAGCACCAATATTATTTTAGAAATACTTGCTCACTTTCTTGTACAGAGAAGTCACATATTTGTTTGTCTATCAATCATCTTAATAATCAATGATGAAGATATTACCTGTTATCTGCAGACTGGAATTGTTGATAGTTTTATTCTGTGAAACAATTTGGTCTTTCAGCTGATCCATTTCAGTCTTGATACTTGTATTACTCTCATATAAGAACTGATTAAGAGACAAAAAAAAAAAAGAAAGAAAAACAATCAGCATTAATCCAGAATGATCCAAAGCAAGTTATAATATTTATATAAAAGTCATACTTTAAAGAATGTAGAATCTGAGAAATTCTTAATATAAAGAATATTGCTTTACATTGCATGTTACACTTTCATTCTTCACAGAAAATATTATCACTTTCCAAGAGATTAACACTAATCCCAGAACATACATGACTATCTTTGGATTCATTATTAATCCTACAGCTATTCTATCAAAATCTATATTTGACACTGAATAAGGATCAAGGTTGGAATTAAACTGACATAACTCTACATTGGTTTTTTTCATAGCAGGCTCATCTTAATGTTAAATTAAGACTTCAGTTGAGACAACTTGCATTTTACTGAAGAAAAATACATTTCCTAAGGAATGCTATTCTTTTGTGAAGAGATAAAAATGTAAAAAAGATAAATCAAATTTTAAATAATAACTTCTGTAGCAATACAATTTCTCAAACATCCTTAGGAGATAAATAGATGGATTCTTTCTTCTTTTAAAGCAATTTAATAACCTGGAATCTTGTCTCCAGTCCATCTTTGAGTCAATTTAATGACCCAAATTTTTCAAGAACCCTGTCCCCAGCCCACCTTCAAATTGACAAACATAAAATTTTGTTAGTGATTTTAGATAATCATAAAAGTAGAGTCCTTTGAAAAACTGACCACCCAAAAGTGTCAGTCAGGAAGTCAGCAGAGAGTTGAGGGAAACGGTTAGCAGAGAGTGAGAAAAGGACCTGCAGTGAGTAAGTCAGCAGATACCAAGATGGTCAGGCATTAAGTATAAGGGTTCTTTTTCAGTGGACAGAAGTTAAGAAGATAGCAGGGGTTCACTTTCTCAAAGCAAAAGGAAGATAATGGCAATTAAGTGAGAAATTGTATTGTCTTGCCATTTCCTAACCAGTGTCTTGAAAAGCATTTTTTGTTATTCTTTCTTGAATTCAATCATGGCCAGTGACAAACCTGTCAACATAGTGAGCAGGGTGTATACGCAAACACAACTGACCTTGGATGTCATCACAGCTTGTGCAGTGATGTACAGAAAGGAATCATCACACTTTCTTTAAAATATACAAGTTACTTTAGGCCTTATTCTTAAATTGAGTTTTTTCTAAAATCCTATGAAATCTCTCTTGACCATGTTAGTTTATATATATATATATATATATATATATATATATATATATATATAATGCAAGACTCTCCTAGCGATTGAGTTATCTGAGTGATTAATGTGTTTATGAAAAAAACAATATGCAAAAATTCACCCTTCTCTCTGATGGCATCGATGGCCTAGGAGTTAGAATCTCCAACCGATAACAAATCGGTCGGGTTTCAGTCCTACCCTGAAGCGATCGGATGTCTAGCTACACTGATGAGCTGTGATACAGCAAAACAGTCCTTCTGTGGATATATATATATATATATATATATATATATACACACACACACACACACAAAAGGAAAAAACAGTTAACTTATAATGCTTAAAAAAATAAAACAAACAAAAAAAAGAAGCAATAACACCAATTTTACTTAATATACCAAAAACTTTACACCTTCATTTACACCCTCCATACTTTATTTACCTTTCATTTGTAAGATTTTAGAGCATTCTCTAATTCAAAATTTTAACGCTTAATGTTTTCTTGATGTTACTTCTGTGTATAAATACTAGTTACTAGATAAAATTTCTACAGTTGCCTTGATAAACTTCCTCAAAGAATAGAATATGTTGACTTAAAAGGTTTTCCTCTTGTTATTTCTTCACCTTCTTTTTTGGAGAAAACAGAAAAAACTCTTGGTGGCCAGCTCCTTTAATCTTCATCAGTGCTTGACAATTAAATAGGGCTTTTTTTTGCACTGGGTTATATTTTTAATCCAACCACCATTAATGACCTCAGTGGGAGAATCACCAATCCTTAGGTCATGGCACCAGATAAAGATTCTTATTGCTTCTATCCCATTCTCACCTCCTCCAAGGTTCAATCTCTCACTCTGGTTAGATGATGCCTACTATAAAGGGAGAGTTGAGTAGCCAAAAATGTTTTCCACTTTGCATTATTAACATATTAATAAGAGTATATATACCAGAATCTAAGATGAAGAACATTCATCTTCAACCAAAACAAAAACATGGGCACAAAGGAGATTATCTTTGACTATAGGAGGATAATGATAAAAATAAAAGATAATCAATGAAAAAATAAACATCTGTGTATATATATATATATATATATATATATATATATATATATATATATATATATATATATATATATTTTGTCATCCACAGAGACTGTTTTGCTGTATCACAACTCATCAGTGTGGCTAGACATCCGGTTGCCCCTAGCTAGGATCGAAACCTGACTGAATTGGCATCAGTAGGGGATTCTACCACTAAGCCACAGCAGGGATGAAGGTGAATTTAAGTGTATTTATTTTTAGATAAAACACACAATATATATATATATATATATATATATATATATATATATATATATATATATATATACATACACACAGAGGATCAGAATATAGTAAATGAAAATAAACACAAAGGAAATATAACATAAGCTTGCATAAGCTAATAAAAAAAAAAAAATGTAAATGTTTTAGTTGTTACTTTTTGTAAAAAGTAACAACATTGAGAATTCCTAGGATTTTGTTTAATTTAAATTGTAGATATTAAGTTTGAAAATGTAACTGCTTTCAACTTTTCTACAGTTGTATTATGAATTAAAGGAAAAGGCTACATGGATGCATCTACCATTGACTATATTATGATTACCTTGAAATACTGTGCTATAGTAGTATAAATAGAGTTGCCCCTAAGTGTCTTTTTGTTATTGTTAAATTGGAGACAAAATTCAAATAAGTTGATGGGGGCATATTTTAATTTCTGTATCTGGAGGAATGCAAGCTGTATCAGTGCTTACAGATTTGGCATCATAGTTTATTGCATGTATAATTACTTATTTCATTTGGTGAGTAGTGATGGTAAATTAGGTGGTTGTCATCTTGCACTAAATGGTGATTTGCTGAATGCATTAATTAGAGGTTCTAGTTTAAGACTTAGAATATCTCTTGAAAAAATGGATTCTTTATGAACTGTCTCATTTCACCATTGAAACAGGCCAGCACAGCCAGGCAACAATGTCATAACAATGCAGCACTGAAAGTGTTAATTGCATATGTTTTTATCTCCTTGAAAATGCAATAATAATTTCCGATCGGTTTAATACATCCCCAAACTTTAAGATTTTCAGCCACTCACCTTGCAAATTTCTTCCTTGTATTCTAAAGACTTATTCTGTGATTCCAACTCAGATGTAAGACTTTTCACCTTCAAAGGAAAAAAAAAAGTCATTATTACATGATAGCCTGCAGTTATAGGAAAATGGGAGAGCTCTCAAGACAAACATTACAGGGTTTGTTTTTTTACCATTCAAAAATGAAAAATGTACAAATAAGAAAGCAATAGCTGTGATAATTGTAGGCATTTCTTAACCTTTTCTGTGGCACAAGGCCCACAATAATAGACTACTCAGTAAGGGATCAACTTCACTAGATGAACCAAGTGTCTAATAATGCTTGTACATTAAACTGATTAAAACCTCAAAGAAAACAATTATTGATTAAATATAATGTATTTGCCAAGATAGGAATACTATTGATCTTTTGGAACATTCATATTTACGAAAGTCTTAATTCTACATTAAATTAAGATTAGATATAGATAAAGAAAGAGAATGAACGTAAAAAGGAAAAAAAAGAAAGAAAATAATTCTTACTTTTTCTTCTTCTGCTTGCAATTTTTCCTTCAAAGTACCATATTCTTCAATAAGCGACTTCAATTGTGTCTCCATTTCACTTGTCTCCAGATTAGACAACTCTATACTGTTTAGCAATTTTTCAAGGTTGGAATGCTTTTGCAAGATGTCAGATAATTTAGTGGAAAGTGAATCACACTGCTGAGATTTTTCTACAAATTTTGTCTCAAGGCATATCACAGCATCTTTGTGATCTTTCTCTAAGTTAATGACCTGTTTGGATAGTAAACAGCACTCTTCTGTCTTGACAGATAACTTCAGGTGCATCTCTTCTTGTATTTTCATCTTATTTTGTTTCTCGGTCATCAGTTCACTTGACAGCAATGCATATTCTTTACATTTAATCTCCAATTCCTGGCTGAACCTCTCTTCTAGACTGATTGTTTGTTCTTGGAGGGCAGACATCTCCTTGGCCAAGTTCAGATATTCCTGTGTTTTTGATTCCAATTTGCTCTCAACTTCTGTGAGGGCTTCAGATTTAGAGGCATTGGTAGCTTCAAGTTCAGCAGATAGAAAGGCACATTCTTCAGTTTTGGATACAAGCTTTTTCTCATTTATGACTAAGCAATCATTCAAGTTACTCAACTTATCATTTTGCTCATCAAGTTTGATTAATGATTCACGCAAACTTATATTTTCCATCTCCAACTCACTAATCTTCTTAGTCAGATGTGAAAGTTGTTCTTTTAATTCAGATTGTTTTGATTCAAGTTCATTCTGAATATTTAAAATCTCTGACTCCTTTCTGGCTACCAAATCGTGGGCATCTTGTTTCTGAGTCTTAAGGTCAGCAACCTCTTCCAAAAGTCTCACACACTCTTGGGATTTAGTATCCAATTCAGCTTGTAGTGAAACCATTTTCTCTTCAGAAGCAAGTAGTTGCTGGTTTTCCTCCTTTAGACTAAGCAGAGAAACCTTCAAACTCTCTATTTCTATGGTAAGCACTTCAATATGCTGACTCAATACTGAACACTCATTAATCTTTGCATCCAGATTGCACTGGGTTGCATGCAAGTCTTTCTGAATGTTTGATAACCGATTATTTTCTTCATCCAGGTTCAACAGAGACATTTTCAGACTCTCACATTCCTTTTGAGCATTGGATAAATCTTTAGAGAGCTGCTCACATTCAACGGACTTGGCACTAAAATTTTTGGCTGTCAGCTGTTCTTGTTCTTGGGTGTAACGTAGGGACTCTCGGAGGCCATTCGTTTTGCTGTTCATTTCAGTCAGGTCCTCTTTCAAAGTGCTACACTCTCGACGCAGGTTTTCCAATTCTGACATGCTTTCTGTCAACTCCCTTCTGACTATTGCCAAATTCTTTTGTTCTTGCTCAAATGAACTCATCAAACGAACATTCTCTCCTTTCATTTCTTCCAACTCATTTGTTTTTTTGACAATTTCCTTGTGCAGATCTCCATTTTCATTCTGAAACTCTGTAGAATGCAAATTGGAACGTTTGATTTCCTCAACAAGTACATCATATTCTAACGATTTCGTTTCAAGTTCTGCAAGTGAGCGTCGCATTGTTTGTGCCTCATTTTCCTTTTGTGATTTAAGGTTCGCAAATTCTTTTTTTAAGCTGTCCATTTCTTCAGACAGCATTGAACATTTCTGAGTTCTGGTTTCTAACTCTGCCATTAATGCTTGTTTGTCATCATCTGCTGGCACAGATTGGTTGAGGAAGCAGTTTTTACTACTCTGTTGATTCATTTCTTCTTGTAACATTGCCAGATCAGATTTGGCTATTTCAAGCTCCATTAGCAGTGTGCTTTTCATCATCACTTCTTCTGCAAGAGAGCCCTCAAGGTCTTCATAATTTTTCTTAAGTTCACATATTTGCCTGGAAAGATCCTCGCATTCAGAAGTTTTTAGGTCACACTGCTCACACAGTTGTTCAAGCTCTTCAGAAATTTCAGTTGATTTGTCAATCTTTGAATCCAACAAACTATGCTGAGTAGAATAAGCACCTTCAATAGAATGCACTTGTTGCAATAGAGAAGATTCTTCAGTTTTGATTGTTGGCACTGCATTAAGAGTTTCAAGTTTTTCAGACAAAGACTCACATTCTTTAGTTTTTGAACTGAGTACTTGTTCAAGTGTAGATATTTTCTCATTTAAAGTTCTACATTCTTCAGTTTTGTTGCAAATGACCAGGTCCATTTCGGAAAGCTTTTTGCCTAATGATATGCATTCCTGTGTCTGTGATTCCAGATTAGCTTGACATTCTGATAGCTGATTTTGCATTGAACAGTCGGCTAGTTGACTGGAATCTTGGAGTCCCTCAAGAGACATTTTAAGAACATGATAATCATCACAGATATTTGCAAGCTCTTGCTTTAACTGGCAGCACTCTTCAATCTTATTTTCCAGTTGGTGCTTGCAGAGGGATAATTCTTCATTATTGTCTTGAGTGGACATGGTTAATTGCTGGAAAGAATACTTTTCTTTCATCTCCTGCAATTGAGCAGATAGATTGGCACATTCTTCAGACTTGGCTTGGAGTTCTGCCCTGAGCAAATCAAGGACTTGCTTCTCATCGACAGATGTATCTTTGGCATTCATTTTGGCATCAGTTTCACTTGTCATTTCAACAGATTTGCTTTCATCATTTGAAGAAGCAGAAATAACTTGCTCGATTTTTGTTGCTTCAGGACACAATGAATTCCTTTTGTTATCCAGAATAGCCACTTCCTGTACAGTTTTTGCTTTTAGAATGAAAAGCTGTTCTGCCAGTTTTTCACACTCATTACACTTGGAATTACTATTTCTCTTAAATTTTTCAAATTCTTTATTCAACCATTCAAATTCTTCCTCTTTTACATTCAATTTTTCTTGAAGTGATTCCAGCATTTCTTCTGCCATTGTCTTTTCTTGTTTCAGAGTTGTTACTTTTTCTGATAAACTAGTGCAAGCCAATATCTTGTTGTCATTTTCCATTTGAATGGTCTTCATCTCATCACTCAGAACTTTGTAGTCCTGAGACTTTTTCTCAGATTCTTTCACCAATGAATCCATCAACTCTTCCTTGTGCTTTTTGTTTGTCTCGAGTTCAGCTATCTGCTCTCTCAGGGAAGAGCAAGCCAATATCATGTTTTCATTCTCAACCTTCAACCTCTTCAGTTCTTGCTTCAGTACTTCACATTCTTGCATATCAGTCAGTTCTTTCAGCCGATCACATTCCTCTCTCTTAGCATCAAGCTCTTCTCGGAGTGAGTCCAATAAAGTAATGTCAGCTACACTTGCAGGAGTTTGGAAGATGATTTCATTCTCAGAGTCTAAATCTCCTCCATCAATCTCTTCATCTACATTCTGGTTCTGCTTTAATTCTTGAGCAAGTTTTAGACTTTCAGTTAATTCAAAACATTTCTGAGACTGGACTTCCAATTCTTTTTCAAGCTGATGCAACTTCTCAGTTTTTTCTAGCAGTTTCTCATTGAGAACAGACACCTGCTCATTCAATTCCAAACACTCTTCTTTCACCTTCTCAGACAGTTGATTTGCAAGCTCTGCTGTTTGTGTCTCAGCCTTTAGGGCAACCTGCTTCTCTTCATTACTGTTTGCAACTAACTCATCATATTTACATTTGGTTTGAGTTAGCTGTTCACTCAAATAAGTACATTCTTCCTCTTTAACTTTACAGGTTTCTCTTAGAGCATCCAGCTGAGCTTTCATCTTTGATTCCACCTCTTGAAAGCCTTTTTCACTCTCAATTAGTGATTGCTTGATTGCAAAAAGTTCTTTGGTTTTCTCAGCAACAAGCAATTCCATACCATTCTGTTCTTCCATTAACTGCTTGTATTTTTCTTCCAATACAGCTTTTTCTTGTCGTGCACTAGATAATTGTTCAAACCAACCATCTTGTTTTCCATTTTGATCTTCTGTACCAATATCTACCGCATCTTGAGATTTAGAAGAATCCTTTCCTTCAAAATTTTTCAGTTGTTCAATCAAATTTTCACATTCCTTTGATTTCGCATTGAGCTGATTGTGTAAAGAGTCAATTGTTTCTTGATCTGAGCTCAAACCACTAAGGAGAAGAGACTGTTGAGTACTGATATCAGCTGGCTTAATCTGTGACAGTTCTAGAATAAGTTCTTCCTTGGCAAGAAGTTGTTCTTTGAATTCAACAAGTGTGTTTTTCATGGCCATCACTTCTTCATGAGTAGCACTTAAATTATTTTGGAGCAACAAGCATTCATCTATCTTCACTTTAAGCTGATCCTTGAGGTTACTGCTGTACAATTTATTAATGTTTAAGTCACGCTGCACCTGGCTTTTCTCAGCATCCATAGCGGCAAGCTTTGCCTTGAGTGCTTCAACTTCTTCAGATGCTTTCCTATTCATTTCAGAGGAGCAGACATTCTTAGATTCGATCTGTTCACAGTATATAGCCGATTGCCTTGACAGATACGTGATCTCTTCAGACTTTGATTTCAACTTTTGCTGCAAGGAGTGTTTTTCTTGTGAAATCTCTGACAGGCGAGCATTTAACTCTTTCACCTCTGGAAGTTCTGAGACAGGGGTTTTGTCATCTACCCTCTGGCTTAGGTTTTTATTCTCCTGTTGGAGAATCTCTATTTTTTCCTTCTGCTCAGTGGTCTCCAGTGAAAGGAAACGGATTTCATCAAACTTATTTTTCAGTTGCTCCTTGCATTTGTCAAGATCTCTGGTCAGCTTCTGAATCTCTGTTTCCTGCATTTGCACTTCAGATTGAAGACTAAACACTTGCTCTTTTAGGGCTTCACAGTCTCCACGTGATGACCGTTTGGTACGGTCAGTAATATTGCTCAAATTCAACAAGGGACGATCCATAGAGCAACGTTTAACACCAGTCGTCATTGAGGACTGGTTCTGTAAGTAGTTGAGTTCATATTCAAGGTTTTTAACCCGTTCCTGGCTGTGTTCAAGACTCTTGAGCAGGCAAGAATTTTCACTTTCTGTTGCTTCTACACGCTGCATTAAATGTTTCTTTTCAGCTTGGAAAGCACGTATTGCCTCATCATGGATGATCCGCTCTTCCTTTAATTTGCGACGTTCCATTTCCAATTTTTTTTCTTCCTGAAAAGTCATAGAATAGAAATTCCTTTAGATTAAAAATATATACAGGTACTTTCACTTTGTGAGCAGAAAAATTTTAGACATGGAAATGATTTACTTAAAAAAAGTAACAATAAGGTTTGTATTACAGAGATTTTAATTTTAGCCAAAACAGCTTGCATAAACCAAATATAGTATACATTTTTGCATAGAATCTCAGATTAAAGGAATGACAGTGTCTATAGAAACTTGGAAGGGGGACAGCAATGACTGCATATTGACCAAAGAAAATGGTGGAAACTACATACATTTTTATTTAAAAAATTTTTATTACCCATATTGTCAAATTCTTCATAGTAGCAGTGTTTACATGCTTATCAACATCACTTGTCACTTGACAAGCGAAGATAAAATCTGTCAACACCTTAACTATTGTTCTACAGAGACTTTATCTGTTAAAACATAATTTAAGAAAATAATGGGTTAGTGCCTTTTTTTATATATTTTTAAGTACTCAGTAATTTAAAATTTGGGAAAATATTCACTGTAATCTAAAATTTGCTATAATCATCACTCTTATTTTCTGATTATGTTGTGTATGGTCAACCATACTTTCAAACAGGGGTAAGTTTGATAATATTTTATATAGATAAAAATTTAAAATTTTAAAACTATTGGGGATAAACAGTTTTTATTGAGCTTTTTAGTTTTTGATTCATAAATATAGTTTTCACTTAATGACATATCACCTAATCAGATTGAAATAATGCAGAATTTCAAAAGAATTATAATATTATAAATTATTATAATTAAAATTAAAAAAAAAAAAAAAAAAAAAACAATTCTTGTAAAAATTCATTATTCATTGCAAAAAATGTTTTTCTTAAGACAATAGTGTCCTTAATTAATCTTATTTATAAAAGCAATTAAAAGTTTTTTCTAATTAAATGTCACAGTTTTATAAAATTATGATTTACATTCTCCAAGGAGTCAAAAAGGGATTTTTGGTCTTTACATTTAATAATAAACATTTTGTTTTTACTAAGTTTGGGGCCTTTTTCATTATGTTATGCTGTTTTTCAATGAGCAAGTGGAGGTATCTACATAAAAATAAACATGTAAACAATAATGAAAGTAGATATGGTCATCAAAAATGGTAAGTCTGAGTTTTACTGCCCCTGCCAAAAAATTGCTGCAACAAAACTGCTCAATGAAGAGAGCAAAATATTAAATCTGAATTAAGATGTAAAACAGTTGCAACTATTATATATCTTAATTTGGATTTTAGAGAAGTTTGGTTAGAACCAAATGTAAGTTCTTTGTTAAAAATTACTAAATTTTTTCCAATATATTTCAAACAATTTTCCTGGTTTTTAGTGACAGTTTAAATATAAATTGTCCAACATTTGAGTACTTTTAGCTTTCATAAATCTTTATGAAAGAGGTGAAGAGGAGAAAAAGTGAAGAGAAACAGAAAGCAAAAGAGGGAGAGAAAGAGAGACAAGAAATGAAAAAGATATTCAAGATTTGCATCTTACCTCAATGACATGATTATTCTTTTCTTGGGCAAATTTTAATTCCAGTTCCAAAAATTCTTTTGTTTCATCATGGTTTTCAAAGGATACTCTACGCTGCTTTGCTGGTCTAACAAAGACAAATTCTGTATCTATAAAATTAGCTTAGACAGTATTAGTTTTGATTTTAATACATGTTGAATATGATGAAACCTGAGTAAATTAGTAAGGATAGAGATAATAGTTTGAATAATTTTCCAGCTTTTCTTACCTGTTCAATAAAACTTAAGAGAGAGCTTTTGAAAAACTAAGTTTGAGTCTTAATTTTTCAACTCACCTTGCCTTTAGATCTGTCAGCTCAGTTGATACCATAGTTATTTGGTTCTGCAGCATTTCATTCTCTAGTTTCAGCAGGATGACATCATTCTCAACCTAGAAAAAGAATTCAACATTTACCAAAATATATTTTCTTTCAACTGACAAGCACAAAATCATTATTTCTTTTCCTCCCAAAATAGACCATCTAAAATTTCTGTATATTTTGTTGTAACTGTTAGGGATCACACTAACAATAGTATGGACACTTTTTGTTATCATTGCAAACCTGAGAAGGAAAAAAAACAAACAAAAAAAAAAACATTTTTACTTGCTTGTAAATCAAAGCAAGAAGAAAAAAGAATTAAAACCAAAAGAATTGGATTGTAACTTTTTTTTTTTTTTTTTTTTTAAATTTTGAGTAGAGATAATCATTTTTTTCTTAATTTCAGTTTGAAGAGGTGGATGTGCAGCTGGTGTAATAGGCAGTGGGTTGGAATGAGAAATCGAAAAAAGTCAAGTTTTAATTTCAGTCAGGTTCATTAAATTCACTTATGCACAAATACCCTTGGGAAAGGTATGAAGCCATTTCCTCCCCACACCTATGGGCTAAATAGTAGGACTTGTATCTGGAATAAGTCATTATTATAAAAAAAAAAATTACCCTTATAATCCAAAACAGGTTAAATAACCCACAAAGGGTTGATAATTCATAAAAAACAAATTTATCAATTTGAAACTATTACCTAAAACTTACCGTTTTCACAGTTTGGCATGCAGAATTAACATAGATCACTGGTCCCTTAGGCTGGATAACATTTTCACTAGATTCTGAAACTGGTGTTTCTTCAAGGATGTTTCCTAGTACATGTGAAGGGGTACCAATAACTACAAAAGGAAAAATAAGAACCAATATTAGAAAAAAATGTCACTAGTTTCTGACTCATAAAATCAAAGAGTTTTAAGTCAGCATTTATAATATCAGATATAGCAAATATTAATAATGGTTAAACTTGACAACCTGAAGTTGAATTTATATATCAACATTTGGAATTTACTGAGCAAAACGCATGAGATTTCTATTTGATTATAAAATGAAAAATTATGTCAATTTGCATATTGATCAAGCTAAGTTACAGCATTAAATCTACTGGATTAGTAATGTCTGTGAGACAAGTTTGGTAATCAACAATGAATCTCTATGCTTTGAATGTCTATTAGGTCCCCTGATTCAAACAATCATAATCTTTAATAATGCATCAATTACTTTATGATAACTGTGATGTCCATGCAATCACTTGAGTAAAGGCCAATTAATTCTTTGTCTCATAATTATAGATAAATTATAAATAGAAATTTAGCATTTAAAGAGATTAGTAATAATGAGACCTGGAGATAGAGCAGCTACATTTTTTTTTAACTTTCGTTTTTTTTTTGTTTTTAAGAAGATACTAAATTTGAAAGTCAATAAACGTATAGGTTATAGGTTTTTAAATTTCTTTCTTTTACATATAAATTTACATTTACTTAGAAACCTTGATAACTTAAATTCAAACAAAAAAAAAAAACAAAAAAAATCTCTTTCAGCTCATATATATCATTTTAAAATGATGAAAATACTAAAAAATATTTTCAAATACCTATCCTTATTTGCACATGGACTATTATCACAATGTTTCAGCCATTGTTCACTTCAGCTTTATTTAAACTATGCTAGGGACAAGGTGATTGTCCTTGTTCCACTGTCTAGGGAGATCTTGTTTAGTTCTTATTTAATACTGCTCCATTCCCACCAAGTTCAAGTATATACAACCTGGCCCAGAGATTGAACTAGATCTCACCAAATTCTTAAACCAATGCTTTAATCCTTTATGCTATTGTCGTGTGGAACAATTCGAGTAAAGAACTTGGAGCCTTAAATGCATCCAGTCCACTATTGATGCTTTTCTTTGTTTTTATTTTATCTACTCTCATAGATTAAATAAAGGGTTAATTTCGAAGTTACCTGGATTGACAAGCACCCAATGAGGGCTGGAGTGCACAATCGTTGAAACATTGTGATAGCAACAACAATGAGGAGCACAATAATTCACATGTAAATAATGAAATTCAGACAGACAATATCAATGCTTATCCTTAAACATACTTTTAATATAAAGAAAATTTCAGCCATTTTCAGGCAATTTTCAAAGTGAATTTCAGTCTCTTATTAATACACTTTAATATTTGTTAAAGATTTATCTAAAATATTGTAAAAAAAAAAAAAAAAAAAAAAAAAACACAGTTTCCAGCAAAAATGCCATAATGAAGAATAGTAAAGATGGGAACCTCCAATTGCTGGTAAGTGACCAGCTTGTTCAAGTTTTCTCTTCAGCACACCAGGACACCAAGTCTCACGGCGAACAATCTTTTTCTACAACCAAAAGCAAAGAAAAGTTCATGTGAAAAAGAAACAAAAAAATCTTCAGACATGATTTGAATACTGTAATACTTATTATGCTTAATAACTTTGTAACAATGTCAATCAGATTCAAAAGCAAACATCTAAACAACAAAAGATGATCCCAAGTATCATTTTAGGGTGCATATGGTTTTAATGCATGTTAGAGCCACAAATTTTAAGTACAGAAAAGCTCAACTCTTACTCCAGGACTGATCACACAAAAGCTAACTGAGGAAATGATAACTCTTGAGAATTCATTCCAAATGAACTGTTAATTGGTTAAATATGTGTTGCTCTTCTCACAAAATTAACAATTATTTTCACCCAATTTGTGACAATTTAGATAAGAAAAAATAATTCACTAATCACATACTTTAATATAAAACCTACACATTAGTGCAGTTGGTTTAACACACTGACTTTGTGACAACTTAATATATCAGGATTCTATGAGGATGTAAAAAGAATTTTAGTAACTAAGTCTTTCAAACAAGATTGTTATATTGAACTGAGATGTGTCCCTTTGTCTTGAGTGACTCAATGCATTGGGTTTCCTGTCCTTTATTCTTAAGGGGCATCTTTTTGTGGTACCTATGAATGAAGCAGGCAGTGATGAAGTGGATTAATGGAATGCTACAAAGTACGGACAAAGAAATGGTGCTGCTAGGAACAATGAAGGAATGGAACAGTGTGGAGGAAGAATGGGCATATTATGTTGAAAGAATAAAATTTCCTTCACAGCTAACGATGTGTTAGATGAAGGCAAGCAACATGCAATTGTTTTATTTCAAATTGGCACTAAACATTATGCAGTCCTTAGAGACCCTGCAGAGAACAGGCTGGAGGAGAAAAACTTTGATCAGTTACATTTTTTAATGGAAAGACACATTAGGCCCATTCCTAATGAAATTCATGTGAGTTTTTTGTTCAACACAAGAGACAAAAAGGTGAGTCCATTAATGAATATGTAGCTGCATTATGAAAAATGTTGGAACACTGCAATTTTGAAGCACATATGAGATCGTTCGATTGTAGGAATGAAGAACGAGAAGATTCAAGAGTGTCTACTTGGTGAGAGAACACTAATATTGGAAAAGGTTATTGAAATAACAGAGTCTATGGAATCTGCCAAGAAGTGTTCCAAAGCAATGCAAGGAACACTGCCAAATAAAACTGAGACACACCCATTCACAGATTACCAGTAAGACATGAATGTTACCACTGTGGGAACACCACCCACCTTGCTGACAAATGTCTGTTTAAAAAAAAGGAATATTTCAAACGGAGAGAACATACCCGTCAAAAGTGTTGACAAAACCGAGGACAGGTCTTCTAATGCAACAGCGCATAATTAGAAGACGACTGTAAATAACGTGGATGAGGGAAGAAAGGGAGAGAAGCATGGAAAAATTGTATCTGCACACCACTGTGCTGTTCTCCAAACATCAGTTATGGAGGTATGTGACACCATTAAGAAGGTGCTGGTAAATTTGGGAAAAAAAAAAAAAAAAATTCAAAAAATAAGGAGGAAAACAAGAGAAACACTGTTTTCGATAAACTGAAAGTATACTGATAAGAAAGACAAGGAGAATGGAGGGAGAGGATATCTGTTTCTTCTGTCATATGGGGGTGGGGTGGGGTGTAGAGATGCTGATGATGATTCACATAAGCACCATCTGTTTTTGGTCAAGTTGATGTTAAGTGATGGTATTTTCTTAAGTGTCCAATCAACCCGCACAGATTAATAGATTATATTTTAATGACTGCTGAGATAAATGGAGACTAACAGCAAGTCTCTAGCAAAGATTCTATCAGTTGATAGGACTTGGAAAACAAGAATGTCATTGTAGTTATATTTTTCCTTTGTCTGCCTAAGATGCAATAAAATTTATTAAAAGGAATTGTCTCTTTTTGTCACTTGTTGACCAAAAAGATGGCGTGGAGAAGCAACAGGTAATGAATCCCAGATGCAGCCAACCACACAAAGACACAATAAGAATTGATGGAAATTTTGGATGATAATTGAATTTAGCACTTTGGGCTAGACCATGCTTAGCCTCAAGGACTGGTTTGATCAAGAGACAAAGAGAGAGGTAACGGGCCAAGGAAGATTGAAGAACTGTCTGCACCCTTCGGGCAGTGATGGTGAGAGGCACCCACGCAAGATGGAAGGAGTTGGGCAGATCGATATTCTACCACTCTTCAGAGTAGGGATCTCTCCCAAATTTGGTCAGACAATCAATTTTCCAATCAACTCATGCTCCTCACCAGGTGTACGCAAGGGTCCATAAATACAGATGAGTGAGAAGAGAGATGGAGTAAAAGGAATCAGACAGCTCGAATTGCAGTTCGAGAGAGAGAGAGACAGACATGCCAGTTGGTTCAAGACCCACTTTGCTAAATCACATGTGGATTCTGCAGAAAGAACTTAGACTCTGGCCTTGTTCCAGACTACCAAATACACCTGAATGGTCGGCTGGAAGAAATCACACTTCAGCCATGTACCAGTTTACTGAGCATGGCTAGACAGTGTCACGGGGTATTAAGGGGGAAGGTGCTAAAAATCTGCATGCTGTTAATCTATTGAGTAGAACGTTCATTTCATGAACTTTTGATATAAAGTTGTTGTTACACAGATGTCTCTTACTTTGTTCCTTGTGACATCATTTCACCAAAGCTAATGGATCAGCGACATTGAGTATACAACTTGGATTTGCCCGCGCTGTGATCTAAAACAACTACAATATGGGCAGGGTGGGAATTGAAGATTGAGCAACCAACTCCAAGGCTGGCCATAAGGACCGACCACAGCCTTGCCCGATGATTGAAGACAGGATTGCAATGTCATAGGTGACTGAGGCAAGCCTGGTTTGTGTGGACAGGGCTAGCCAACAGGGCAGTTCCCTGTGAACCCTCCCCTACTTAAGTTAGATACTGTTATGTTTTGCTAGTTAATGTAAGTAAGTGTTGTTCCCAGCATTGTTTTGTTATGGCACATATTGATATTCCCAACCTCCCCAGTTTGTTTTTGTTACCCATTTTTCATCTCCACTGGGTCAGCCTTTGATTTTTCCCATTTTGCCATTTATTTTTATCCTTCCCAGTCCATTAATGAGTGTGCTGCTTGATTCTGTCAATCAGCAGAATACAGAAGCCTCTCTTATTATTCTGAGGAGTGGACAGTTCCTACTAACATTGTTTCATTTTAGTTTTATCTTTGGTTTACATCTTGAGTTTGTTTTCTGGGTTCATCTCCCACCTCCCCATGATTTCATGAATCATGAAATTTTGAATGTCATGGGATGTTTTGTAGGTCCCCTGTGAATATGTGGTATTGTGGTGTATGCAGGATTGAGAGGTGATGGAGGAGTTCATGTGGTGAGTGGGTAAATTGTTATGAATTAATGGGTCATGAGTCAGGATTAACTTGGACAGCTAATGAAAACTGCCCCCCCCCATTTCCCACTTGGCCTTGTGCCACAATTCTGTATTGTTCAGAATAAATACGTTCTGTAATAATTAACTAAAATCAAGGAATTGGACCAATTGCAAGATTTAAAAGAAAGTTTGGTGAAGCTGAAAACATACACTGGCGAGTTGGTGAAGCCATACGGGAAAAAAGAAGTCCAGGTATTATATGAAGACACAGAGAATTGTTTGCAATTGCTAATGGTAAAGGCTGACATACTAATGCTACTAGGGTGGAACTGGTTGCAAAAAGTGAAGTTGGACTGGAGAACTATGTCTCCTTTAAATAGGGAGGAGGCCCTTTTAAAACTGAAGGATCTACTCACAAAATTTGATTCAGTGTTACCTGAAAGACTTCAAAGTAAAAATACCCATTGATAAAACAGCAAGTCCACAGTTTTGCCACCATAAAGGAATACTTGGAGAAAAAAAACTCGACCATCTTGAAAGCCAGGGCATTTTTAAAAGAGTGGAATATTCTTGGTGGGCTGCTCCCATTGTGTCAGTATTCAAGAACTACAATGGAGACATCCAGATATGTGGTGATTACAAACAATAAATGCTGCTGCACCATGTGATAATTACCTGATACCACGAACGGAGGACCTATATGCTACTCTACGAGGTGGCCAGAAGTTTAGCAAACTAGACTTAAGCCACGCCAATCAGCAATTAGTACTGGATGAGGAAACACAGAAATTGTTGATGGTAAACACACATCAGGGAATATACTAGCCCACCAGATTACAATTTGGAGTGCACAGTGCAACTGGAAATTTTCAACAAGAGATAGATAAAAGGTTGAAGGTATGTGTGGATGATATCCTGATTTCAAGTCAGAATGATGCTACTCATCTAAAGAACCTACAGAAAGTATTTGCTTCACTGGATAAGGCAGGACTAAAATTGAAGAGGAGTAAATGCAAATTCCTTCTCCCGGATGTAACATATCTCAGTTTCAAAATCAACAAGGAGAGCACAACTCCTCTTCCAGAGAAGATGGCTGCTATAATAAGGGTTACCACACCCAAGAATATATCGAAACAAGATGTAGAGTTGTGTCCACTTTTCTGGAGTGACTACCCAACGTGTTGGATTATCTGTCCTTTACCCCTACGGGGGCATCTTTTCGTGGTACCTATGAATAAAACAGCGATGAACTGCTGCCATGATGAACAGATGCACGTTTCTGTTCTCTTAAGTAAATTCTGTCTTTTGTAGTCTTTTTCAGTTTCAGCATGTTTGAATAGTACACCACAAAAATTATATGCTTTTAAATGAATACGCTTATTTAATAAGTTTATAGTTATGTCCTCTTTATTTGATTACTGATATTAAGGTTTATCTTTAATTAAAGTTGATGAATCTTGAGGTATGGAATTGACAATGGGGTTTTGGTGTCAGGTTTTAACCACTGTAGACCCCAAAGCCTCATTGTTAAGTCCATGTCTCAAGTTTCACAGACTTCAGTTGAAGATGAAGAGAAACCTCAGCAACAAATATGTTCATTATGTAATACTAAATATTAAAAATGCACCATGGAAGAAAATAACATGAACAACTACTATTTGTACAAATCACTTTCTACCTTCATTTATGGAATCATATCATAAAACTGCTCTTTTGAATATGCGAATACAATAAATAATGCAAAGTAATTTGCTAACATTTTAGTCAAAAACAAAAATCATTATTGCTTCTATACTGAAGTATTTTCATAATCTGACAATTGGATTGACAAAATTATTTTTGTTATTAAATTGTAATGGAATTGAAACATCTCTTGAAAATATTCATTTTGAATCAACCAAAAAGGTTACTGAGACCATTTTGAAAGGTATTATCAAGACTATATTTCCTCTAAAAATAACACACGCACACACCTTCATTAATAAATGCATTGACCTCTCCCATAGGTCTTATTTTAAGTTTACTATTAGTCATGTCAAGGCCTCTTACTAATGACCACCCCACCCACCCACACACATTGAAAATGTTAACTCTTCAAAGTAGTCATTAAACTAGTCATCAATAAACAAACCTCCATCAAAACAATCAAGAACCGACTTGTATTTAATGAAAATTGACTAAGTTGAAACAAAGCATACATTAACAAACAAGTATACACCAAAATACACAAACTTTAAGCAAATATCTGAACTGTTATCTTCTCCAATGAGAATTATAAGCATGTATTATCAATGAATACATTATCACATAATAGTATATACATACACACAAAATTATGAATTGTACTGTTTCTCTCCTTAAATATAGACAGCTGGGAATCCAATTTTGATTGTTGATAATCAACAACTAATATTATTTTGCTCATCAGAGAAAAGTTGTAACAATTACAAAATATCACTTTTACTAAAAGTTATAAAATTAAAACCTATTTAATGTAAAATCAAGTTTACTATTTTTTTTATATCTTTGATAGCATTTGTAAAATGTGTTGTGGGAGGGGAGGGGGACTGGAAAGGCTTACCTTGCTTGGGCTTGTGGTTGACACACAAATCATACTTTTCAATTTGGAAATCACTGATTGATATTTTGTTTCCAATTCTGCTTTCTCTTGTTCGTGTATATTGTTATAAAATGGATTGAAATTCTTTTGTGGCGTTTGATTCTTAAACTGAAAAAAAAAAAAAAAAAAAAAAACAACACCACCAGGTTGAGAAATCAGTTTCATATTTACATATAACGAAAACAACATATCTGCAATAAATATTCATAAACATTAATAAAAAACTATTTATTTCAGCTATTTACTACTTATATATCTACATCAGTATACAATTATTTGTTGTCATCATTCGTGTTTAATCTTAAAATCAGCCATTTAAAAAAAAAAAAAAGATATCAGATAAATCAAAGTATTTTCTCTTTCTTTCTCTAGGGAACAAAATATACCACTTTAAGAACAATTTATTAAAAAAAAAAAATTTTTTTAAATGGAGTAAGATTTAGGTGCATAACAATCTTTAACCTTTGAACTGCAGTGAAAGCAGTGATAATGACTATTGCTCTACTATTTCTTCCCAGTTTTAAGTGTCCTCCCTGGTAGCCAAAGGAGCCATTTTTGTTCTGCATAATGTTGACACACTTAATTGTAACACACACTTGTTCAAAAGATATCCTTTCTTTACAATTTTTTGTTCCCCAAACTTTTTCACCAACACCAATCATTAGATGGTACTGTGTAATACAAAACAACCAAAGATAAACTAAAAAAAAAAATTAATGAAAATGATTCATCTAAGAATTTCAGACAACTTCTTATATAAGAAATAATTCATTAAAAACTTTACTAACATGGTAACTGAATACTGGATTACCACTTACTCCAAAGAACATTCTCTTGAAACAAAACCAAACTGAAAAGGTTTCATTCAGTATCTAAACATTGATAAACCACTTTGCTTTAGTATTGTCTTTGATCAACTAAAAAAGGTTTTAAAAGTTGTCCCTCATCCAATAATATTAAAATCTGCCTGTATGGATTAGGATATTTATTTTAATACCATAAAGAGAATTAGGTCAAGATTACTTGAACATTAACAAATATTAAAAAACAAATTTATAAAATAATTTTGCTTACAATTTTATATTTTTATGCTTTAGTGAATCTCCAGAGAAAACAGTACAAATATAAAAGAGAAAAACAAAACATCTTACAGCTTCAAGTTGTTGTTGCAAGTTTGCAATTTCCTTTTGGTAACGTTTCAATATGGCTTTGTCTGATGTGTCAGTCAATTCATTGATTGTTGGTTTGTTTTTGATGATCTTTGCTCGACTTGCAAACTGAAGAGCAGCAGAGAAAAAAAACAAAAAAGAAAGAAAAGCACTTAAGAAAACAAAATGAAATCAGAAAGAAGCATACATTGAGTATATGCATTCAATAGTTAAGTCAAACTGAAAAATAAACAGACACCAACAGGTAAGGAAGGAGGGAACAAAAAAAAAAAAAAAAAAAAAAAAAGAAAGAAAGAAAAAAATCAAAAAGTCATGAAAGACGTTAAATTAAATATTGCTACATGTTGACACACATATCCACATTAATGTAGAGTGTATGACTATGTTTAAATGTAAAATAAATAACAGAACTGTCCAACAAGCAGAATTGACAAAGCTTGCAATAAGAAATAATAAAGAAAAGATTAAAAAAGGACCAGGTAAAATAAAAAAAAATATAATAATAATAATATAAAACAAGCAAACAGTATATGCAAGACAAATTAACCATAATAAGGCAAAGCAACAGTAATATAGCAAAAAGTTCACAAACTAAGAATTAGGGTTGACACACAAGAGCAAGTTTGGATAAGTGAACATAGCATTCTGACAAGACAAGCCAGACCAGGACTGAGTCTGGAGACACCGAGAACTGGCCTATTTTATCAACTAGAAAAAAAATCCTAGCATGCATTTGCATGATTCTGCCTATAAATTGAGGATGGGAAAGTCATTCCTAGTCAAGATTGGAACCAGCAATTAATTTTGTTGATAAAATATAGTAAATAAGACTGTCTTCCATGACTCTTTGCAAACCGGATAGAGTGCATTATAGTTAAAGGAATAACAAAACTGAATAAAGAAAAAGTAAGGAATAAACATCTAAGGAAAGAAAATTACATAAGATAACAGATAATATAAACAAGATGATATCACAATAAGTAAATATGAAAGAAAAATGTAAGAATTCAATGAACTTACTCTTAAAGTGGAATTTGTTTCATCCATAATTGTTGGGTTAATAGTACAAATAATGACAGTCTTAGAGTTTCCACCAAGTCCATTCTGCAGAAGTCTAGTTAGTTTGGAATCCCTGTAGTTGATATGTTGGTTACTGGAATAGAAAATGACATCAGTAAAGTTTCTAGGCTGAATTTGGGTTATTATAAAGCCCTTGTTATGCCCATCTTATATCAGTTTATAAAATTAGATTTAAATTAAAGTGAAAAGAAAATGTCTACCATGTTCAGTTGACCTTCTATAAACAATGTCTTGCTTGTTGACATCAATTACAAATTTATTAAATTCTCAGAGACTTGTTTCATCAGGAACCCCCCACCCAAAAAAAAAAACCAGAAAAAAAAGTGTATATATTTATAGAATTAGTATTACAGCATATAGTAATTTGATTACTAACAGAAAGTGATTTAATATGTTGTGCATCTGCAATTTGTGAATGTTGAACAGTAGTGGGACTACCAGAAAAAAAAAAAAAAAAAATCCACTATTTTACTTATACCACAAGACCTGTAATTCATTAGGGTTGTAGAGGCACCATGTGTACTGCAGCCATAATGGCAGTGGGCATGTCTAGGGCAAGATAACCTGAAGAAGCCCATCTCTCTTCAGACTAGTTTTGAATTCAAAGTTTTCTTTCTCTTAAACTGCTTGCCATTCAAGGCTATAGAGAGCCCAGTCAGCTCTGCTATTGACTCCTAATGAGGGGGAGGGAGATGGACTCATACCTTTCCAAAGATATCTGTGCAAAAGTGAACACAATCTCTTTGACTAGAATTTAAACTTGATATGTCTATCCCATTTTCCGCATGTTATGCATACCACATCATCTTATTGCTGAAACTTAAATGGGATTTAATGATAATCAATAAAAAAAAGTATCAGTCTTATTAAAACTGACATATCTGAGCAGTTTATGTGGTAATCTTTTGTTATGATTTCTCTTTTGCTCATTTAGATACACAAGGCTTTTACTGATACAATTAAGTTAACAGTTGAATAACATTACCATAATAAAAAAAAAAAATAAAATAAATTATCATCATTCAGTCCATTTTAGGATAAAATATAAGCTATTCAGCATATAAATTTTTAAATGCAAATAATAGAACTGTTATAGCATGTTAGACTAGACTTTCCAACCTTGAGGGATAGCCAGTTTAGGAGAAAGACTAAAATTCAAAACACTGAAGACAAAAATAGATATATCTGTGGAGAACCATGATTGTCTACACCCTAAAAAGATATGATATTTAAAAATTCAAATGTTGAAGGCTCTGAAGACTTACCTGATTCCATCACTGAGTTTGCTGATAACCTGGCCAAGAGTCATCAGACTTTTGTTGATGGCACAACCCTCTCTAAAACGTTCACCTGAATTTTCAGATGCCTTTTCAGATCCAGCCAAATCTACAAAATACTGTATACACAAATGGTGTAGAGATGAATATATAATTATTCACACACGTACACACACAAGATAACTACATACCTGATTTTTACTTCTTTCTATAAATTCCTTTTTTTATTTAATAAATATATTAAAAACAAGTGGTTACAATATTTATATGGCAGTAGACTCATAAAAGGGAATAATTTTTTTTTTTTATCTTTTCTTACTCTTTATTTTATCAGTCACTTATTTGACAATTGTTTTACACACTAACATTGCAAAAAAATTAGATATGCATAAGTACAAGGCTGAAGAGTTTTCACTTTCCAAAGCATCAGCATTCTGATGCTTGGTCATTGGAATACTGATTTCAGAGCATTGAACACTGATTTTCACTTAATCCTTAATATGGGTAAGCCTATTATATTATAGTAAGTGATCTAAAAAAATGTGGTTGTTTTAAGAAAAAAAATAAAATAAAATTATGTAATAAAAAGAAAAGGTGCAAAAACAAATGTTGGATAAGTATAAAAATAATAAAAAATAGAAAATTAAAATGCAGTATATAATCATACTTTTTTTTTTTAAATGTATTTTGATGATTTTTAAAAATTATTCAGTGTGTGTATATATATATATGTGTGTGTGTGTTTCCATAAACAAAAAAAAATATGATCTGAAAAACTAAACTGAGTTTGTTGGTTGAAACCATCTTAAATTTGTAATTTGTTTTTATTTCATAAAGTAAAAGAATAAGTCCAAATTCATGATTTCATTAATTTTGAAAAGTAAAATATTTAATAACGAATAACTAGAGATTAGCACAAGAAAATGGACAGGCGTAAATGAAAGTGAAATAACTTACTAAACTGGATAGTCGAACAGATTCATCCACCAAATCATCTTCATTAAACTGTCTTTCTTGACTTTCAATGATCTGAAAGGAGGGGGGAAATAAATTTTACAAAGAACATGCAATTACGAAATTAAATTATTATTGAACAAATTTCTAGAAGTGATTTGTATTATTGTAAATGAAGTTTTACTTTCATGAGCAAAGATTCTAATCACGTTTTCATTCTATTCTATATCACATATGACATAAAATCCACTTCATTATCTTTTGAGACCCATCTTGATAGCTAATTTAGCTATGGTGCAAAATGAACAAAACTTATATAACTTTCTTCTATTTGTATAGCTTCACAAAATGATGCCATATTCAATCTAAGCCAATATGCATAGTAATATTTTAAGACTTATAAAAATGCAAAGGGACACCTTAAAATTCTTGATCTGATAAAGAAGCTCTTAAAAAAATAAATAAATAAAAAAGGAAAGAAAAAAGGGAAGTGGTTTGGACCAAGAATTTTTCAATATGCCCTGCCAGAGTGATATATTGAAATGCTGTGCTGTTCACAATATTTACTAAGTTTGGCTTAGTATTCATAGCAGGAAGTCAAATGAAGCAACTGGGACAGGACAGAAGAAGGAGGTTGTATTAGACCAATTTTCAAAATGGAAAGGCTTTCTTGTCTAGAAAAATCAGCATTTGAAATCTTGGATCAAACACCAACCAGTGACATCAATGTCTATCCATTATTTCATTAATATTCCGGGACCATATGTGACTGTTAACAACAAGCAACATTATATCAACGCATATATACTTAGATTTACAAAGAAAATAATTTTAAATAAATATTTCAAAATCCAAATTTAACATAATACATAGAACATTAATCCTTCTCAAAAACTAAAAGGAGACATTAATTTAAAATTTAAATTTCATTTTTTGTTTTGTTTAAAACCCAGTTATGTATTTGGGGATTGATGCAAGTGCCTAGAAATAGATTTTGTAAGAATGAAAAATTATCCCCACTTGCTTTTTCTCATATCCCATGATGCTATATTGGTAACAAATTAAGAATGAAGGCAATAGAACGATAGAAAATTACAATTGGATGGAGCATAATTGGAAAGCTTACATTTATTTTCTACATGAATACAATTTACATACAAAATAAGAATAAAGATCTGAAATTGGCATAAATCATGAAAAAAATTAAAAATATCTGTACAAGTTCATTGGCATTATTTATCTTGGTAATTAAGAGAAAGGAAGGAGTTACTTACTATTTGAAATATTGCATGAGATCGAGAACTTTCTTCATTCCTGGCAGTTTCAGCGACTCTCCTTCGAGCTAAAATTATCAAATCAAAGTGCAACTAAGAGGAAAAAAAAAAAAAAAAAAAAAAAAACAGAAGCAGGCCAACAGAAAATAAAGAGTTTAAAATCCCTCAAGCCATTGCATTGTATAAAGTGATAGACAACTGATGATCATTCTTAGAAATTGTAGTTTTTTTATAGGGAAAATGGATATGAAGCCTGCTGAAAAGTAATGCCTCATATTTGATCAAAGATGGATGTTGGTGGTATGATAGTAAAACTTTCCCCACCCATCATATTTTTTTTTACTTCATTAATGATAGCAGTCTGAAAAAAATGGCACCTGACATGAATAATTGAATTCCTCCATGTGGGGAAAAGATTATGCCTACCAACATAAATTGATGCTTGGTTTACTGAGACTAAACAGTGGATGTAAGTACAGGTGTTATTTACTAAATTTATTTTAGTATTTTTTTTTTTTTTTTTTTTTGTAACCAAGCTTAGCCTAGTTTTGTCACAAAACCATAAAAATATGGGGCATTGAACTCACCATTCAGTTGTAATGGTCCATAAAATTAGCTCATTAATCATTAACCTATGCTAAGGCATCCTTTTTAGCAACAAATCATATGCACAAGGCACAAGTTAGGATCAAACTTAATAGGAATGATCTGTAAGACCAGCTTATTAACCATTACACCAGTGTCAACACAATTAAGTGGCAGGTAATGCATTTCAGGAGTGGCAACAATAATGCATGTGACCAATCACACTCCAGATAACACTGCACACCTATGAACCTGCAAAACAAAGAGCACCCTCACAAATCAAATAAATGCATAATGGAAAAATAGTGTTTTCTAACTGAAAACTTGCTCTATCCAACAGCTGCTCACTAAGATTGGTACACTAATAGCAAAAATAGTAAAACATGGTATTTACAGCGTAGATAAGAACCAATTTGACCCCAGGCATGTTAATATAAACCATTGTTTGCAATAAGATCGTGTGTCAAAAGGAGGGTGTTTTCCCCCATGACACCACTTTTTCCTTTACTGTTTGGCGATGTTCGATGTTTTAAAAAGTGATTATCAATATTGCAATAAAATCAATTCACATAAAAGTGAATTTATACATTTACTTTGTTCTTGTGAATTGACAGCAAAAAAAATTAAAAAAAACTATTAGATTGTTTATTGGAATAGTTAAAAGATCAGCTAATTGCCAATTGATTCAATAAAAGATTTCCTTATAGTTGGTTCACATATTTTAATAATTTAGTAAATGTTTACAAATTTATGAATAAAAAATCGTTTTCGTATTTATTTCTTTATAAATTGGTAAATGATAAATATTGCATTAGTTCTGATTATATTAGTTTTTAGATTGTTATAAAATATAAAATTATTCTTGTAAATAAACAATCTAAGTGTTTTTTGATTATAAATTCTCAAGAACAAAAAAAATGTATAAATCCACTTTAATGTGTTTAGGCTTTATTAAAATTCTAATTACTTTTTAAAAACAAACGTTGCCAAAGATGAAGGTCGTTTAAAAAAAAAAAAAAAAAAAAAAAAGAAGCAGTATCATGGGGGGAAAAACTGTCCTTTTGACATGGTCAAATTTCAATGACTGTCTCTAGTCAACATTCCACTTATACCAAAATACCATTGTGCACATCTTGCAGTGGTGATAAAAGAGTGTCACATAAGAGACTGAATGACACTCTGCAATTTCATATTTGAATCTATAGGTAAACATTAGTCATATTTATAGTAGAGTCAACAAGAACCCCCTTTGTGGACTATCTACCAGATTAATGTCCAAAGAGGATATACAGTGTATAGGGTCTGTGTACTATTGATACAACCCTTATTTTTTAACATCTACATATAGTGATCATTACATGCAATTATTTGCTGTAATCCAGTGATACTGTTAAAACTGGAGTAGAATGATACACAGTTACAATTTTATTTCTCCATCAGTGCATAGGATGATGATGACAAAAAAAAAAAAAAAAATCTTATTACATCAAAAAGCTTCCTTATATGTTACAAGTATTGAATAAAGCCTATTGTATCATGTTCATACAACACTAAAAAGCATCCAAATATCTTCTAATTTCTATTTCCTTAGTTGAAATCTTTCATCCCTCATTATTTCCTTGTTGATAATTTAAAAATACAACTATATTCTTGTAATATTCAATAAGTAATCAAAATCGGAAAAATGCTGTTAACTGTGACAAAATGGAACTGGCTGCGTGAAACATATAGAATTTAATTAATGCTTTATATTATAAGAATTACTGTTATGCTCCATTGCAATTAGATCTCTTTCTGATTCACCCTGCATGCTGGGCAGATGTGAAGGCAAAGAACAAAATAAAAAAAAGTTGTTTTCTGCACATAGGCTCCAAGCATCACATCCGGTCCATAAAACAATTTCCCTACAATAAAAGCAACACTGGTCAATCATGAATGTTCCCATCAAAAAGAAAATGTCCCTGGGGACTGCTAGATCTGCTTAAAAGCAGGTCACCCACCATAATGACCTTAAGGAATGCGGGCCAGCAGGGCACCAGCCAACACATTGCTCTTGCAACCATGACTGCTCCTCTCTACTCAACCATTATCACAGCCAGGCCAACTATCCAGCCTTGACTCCACCAAACCCAAGATGCCAATTGATAACATAATTACAAGCAGTTACAAGCTGTCCTTGTCGCCAATGCAGTCACCTTGTCAAACCCGACTCCACAGGCAAGCAACTCACTCATGTTACCACCATTACATAGGACAGGCCTACCAGCTAGGCCAATTCCTCTTTATCTTGACAACCAATGAGTTGATTCACACATGTGAACAACTATATTCTGTGACCTTGGTCAAACCAACACAAGAAATAGATCAACCACCGGTGCTACCTTTACACCTGATCACCAGCAACAGATATTGACTTTTCACTGATTTTCCAACCATTCTGTAAGACACCCTATATATTAAACAAATACACGTTGTTCCGAAATCTAATCCATGTTATTCTTTTCCTTTTGCAACCAAACACTTATTATAACATTAATGTCTTTGATATGATAAAGTAAAAAACTATTTTGCTCTTCTGATTATGTTTCATATTTTTTACTTCAGGATCAAAATTTCTAAGCTACTAATAGAAGTCTGAATGGATTGAAGTTTTGTAAGTGTGAGCGACATTATAAAACTTTGTATATGGTAAAATTAGACAAACTAAAAAGTAAAAGTATCAGGGTTTACACTCATTATCACAATTGTGTACTTAAAATTTTTGTTGATAAGCATGCTACATAAATGTCTACAAACCATCGCCTTTTTTCTTTAGGTTGATAACATCAGCACCACATCGAAACACTTCTTCGTGAAGTCCACTCACGACAATTTGTCGATTCTAAAACAGAAATTTAAACATGAAAGAAAAAAAAAAAAAAAAAAAAAAAAAGGAAAAGAAAAGATAGTGGAAAGAGGCAATAATCATATTTTTGGAAAAGGATTTTTTTTTTTTTTTTTTAAATGTGAGGAAGGGTAGGGCCAAAATTGTGGGTTATGAATCCTCTCCAATGTAGTCCATAAAAATTTCCCTGGATTTTATTTTACCCAAATATACTGATACAAAATAAAATTACAAAACCTGATATGAAATTTTGATATTGGTACAGTTTGTGCAAGCTAGCATTTTGGTTTCAATCCAAGTGGGAATGACTACAAAAACACCCTCTCCCAAAATTTATAGACAAAACATACAGATGTATGCTGGGATTTCTTCCTAGCCAGTAAGATTGTCAGTCTCATCGAACTTAGTTCTGTTCTTGAAGTCAGAACACTGCAATCACTTCTCTGTATCCATTTTGTGTCAACACCATTCTTACTTTGTGAATTTTTGCCTTATTACTGTTGCTTTGCCTTACATATGTTGCTTGCACAATATTATTTTTGCCTTGTTCTTTTCTTATTCTTGTTTATTGTCAATTCTGTTCATTGGGAATTTCTGCTAATTACATTTAACCAAGGCCAATTACTCTACATGTTATGAGCCCAGAAATCGACTGTTTTAATGGTGACAAATCCTAATATGAACTATGCAAAGTAAAATTACATAAAACTGTCTGGGCACCATTCAATCGTCCCAGTGATGAAGAATTCTACAAAAAGAAGGCAAGTGTTTTTGCTGAATTAATTCAATTTCTTGAAGACTGAAGTCTCTTATGACAATAACAGAAAAGCAAATTTTAAGAGAACATTACTTATAAGGAAAGCCAAAAATAATTTCCTTGTATACTGAATTAACCCACCTAAGAAAAGCAAGTGACAATAGTATTACAGATTATACAACGTAATCAAAATAGTCCTTGCAGCTTTTGATTTATTACAGAAAAAAGAAAAAAAAAAAGAAAGTGTACAGCAATTTTGACACACTGTTAGTCCTCAAAATAATCCCTATCAGAATCCAAAACCTTTTTCCAACATTCTTCCAGCTGCCCATGCCCTAGTCTATGAGTGCCTGCCACAAGTTTGCCTCATTTGCAAAGGATTTCCCATGAAGGTGGTTGTTCAGGGAATGGAAGAAATGGTAATCTGTTGGCACAAGGTTGGGGAGTAAAGTGGATGGCATAGTGTCTCCCAGCCAAGTGGCTGTATGAGATCCCCGATTTTCTGTGCCACATGAGGTCCGGTACTGTCATGGAGGTATAGTACACCCTTGTGATTAACCAATGTTGGCTTCTTCATCTTCAGTGCCTGTTGCACATGTTCCAACTGCTGCAAGTACAAGTCTGCAGTGATGGTTTGGCCGGTTCATAGTGCACCACTTGTCTTACATGGGTGTAGAGGTGGTCTTGTGGTGTGAGGTGCAGGTCCTCATGGTGACAACCAATGTCTGGCACACTTGGCAGTGTCATACAGAAACCACTTTTCATCACTGAGAACTAGATCAAATATGGTTATGTTACAATGCAGAGAAAGCACCAAGAATCAGAGTATACCTCATTTGCTCAACCTGTACACCTTCTCTCTATGTAGCGCAGATGAAATCTGACTGTTTCATCAGAAACCTGGAAGCATTTGGCAAGTTCATCACAGGGGTTTGGCTGTTGTTATCACCTATGGACATCTTCATGGCCTCATCATCAAGATGTGGTCAGCCACTTCAGGATTAATCACAAAAGGACAGATCTCCTAACCTGAACATCTGGAACCAATACCTGGCGGTGTGTTCACTCACAGTATTAAATCCAAAGGCTTGATGTATCACAGCTGTTTAAAATGCTTGTTTTTGTCCTATAGGAAAATTCAAGATGGTGCTTGAATGAAATATTCGGCAAAAAATCCCATTCGTCAGTAACATTTTAAACACCCCATAGAATGTAAAGTTCTCAAAGCAAACTTGTGCCAAACTGTTTTCCTGAACCCTTGATGACTTGGCTGTCCGAAAATGACATCAAAATGAAATAATGGAAACTGACCGTGGAAAAGAACTATGTGCAACAAGTTTTCAATCAATCAGTTAACTTCTAGATGTTTTCAGACCATGTTATAGGATCCAGATGGTTATTGTTTGCACATGGAATTATTCACTGGTAATTAATCTTTGATTTGGCTGCGAAAAATGTCACATGGGGGCTTTAGCATTAAACAATTATGGCCAATTTTCTGAGAAAAATCCCTTTTATTTTTTGTTGTCATCACCTGGGTCATGCGGGGTTAAAAAAACAAAACAAAACACATCAAGCCATTGTTCAAACATAGATTTGGAAGAAAACAAAAAAAAACAAAACAAGACACATATATCAAGCCATTTTTACTATTGTTTATTCCTTTTATCAGGCCCTCCAATTTGACCTATTTTCATCTTGTAAATGGTGTGATTTACAAGTTGACAATGACAGCTTGTTCTAACATTTATTGCTGGCTGGCTGCCCTTTGACCCAGACATGTTAAAGTCAATTTGGTTTAATTTTCCTTATCGCTGCTATTTTGGGGGAAAAAAAACTTTTGGTTTCCAGTGGTCAGGAACTGAGGATAAATCTATTGCCTTTTACTAAAGATTTCTGTGGCCAGGTGTCAATTTTTTAACCCCTGGCAGCTATATAATTAAAAATTACCAACAGACTTTCTCAAATTTTGACTCCCTAGGAATTTTGTTTTCCTTTAAACTCTCAATTTTATGCCTGAAAGAGTATGATTAGGATTTAGGCTTTTTGATTTTCTAAAAATAGTTAATTTCCCATTATTGGGGAAATTTTTTGTTTAGAACTAGAAAAAATGCAAAATTTTCACTATTTTTTTTCACACTTTACCCCCAGAAAAATTTTTTTGAATCATTTACACCAGCCAATTTTACTTTTAAATGAAAGAACATGTTATTTGCTTTCAGAAAATAGCTAGTTTCATAGGGTTCAGATCAAAAGTTTCCTTGGTATTTTGTTCAGATGATATAGAAAAAAATGTACGAAAATCTATTTTGTCAGAGAAAATAAGCTGTGACAAAATGTCTTGCCATTTTTGTGATGATTTTTACTTGGGATAAAAAATTTAACATAGCAAACCTGAATTGACTTTATTTAAGTTTAGAGGGGCTATAGGAATACTCAAACAGCTGTGGTATTCAGTGACTTGATGTGGCTACAGACAAGCTCACCTTAAAGTCACAAAGCAGACATCCCTGAACAAGCTGCTTCAACACCACCATATTTCCTTACCATGACTGTTGTATGTGCAACGTACCTGAATTGGCCAAGAGCATTTAAAGTAACATTGCAAAACTTCCAAGAAACTGAGAAGATTATTGAGGAGAATAAAAGTGAAAATAAACTGTAATGGCCCTCAGAATACAAAGGCCAAGACCAAAGCCACAAAATAATAAGTCCACAACCATCTTGGGATGTAATAACACTTCTACAAATGCAATGTCTGCCTGAGCTTCAGACATTTGATATGTGCTGCAAGAAGTCTTAATGTGGCACAAGAGTTTAGTGCAAGAATTTCTCATGCCACATAAATGCACATACTTCTTTTGTTTAATAGAGCCATTTGAGATGGAATCAAATTGTGGGCCTTTGAAATGTTGGATAGTCATTTTGGAGAATTATTGTGCATGTGAAACATGATGCTCACCCACAGAATGCTATTCAACAACTACACAGGCTAGCATGGAAATGAGTTATAATAAATCTTGCTATATTGCATAGACAGGCACAAGAGGTATGGAATATATTTCAGGATAGTATCTGCTATCTGTAAATCATATCCATACAAGAGCATGCTCTGGTGTTAATGCCCAAGGAGAATATACAGTATATTAACATAGGGTTTGAGTATTTTAGCGTAAATTTAAACACATATTCTGGACATTGCAATTTTATTTTCTGTAAGTATATTTTATACTATATCTTACATGCTGTAAAACATGTTATGTAAATTTAGTAAAGTGAAGTTTAAAAAGAAGAGAAAAGCATCTTTAAAATATGTTTAACTGCATAACTTATATGGAACTGACATTTTTTTTTATTCAGACTAAAATAAACATCTTATTATACTCACAGCATTTCAACCATTATACCCTTCAGCCTTTCTCAGATATCTGTCTTACTGGGGATTTTGAATAGAAAGGCATAATTCCTCATCTAAAAACCTTTAACATACTGAAGAAGAATCCAGTCATATTCAAATAACCAAAATCAGGTTGATTTAATGACATTCACATCTACAGGTTTCTTATTATTTAGAAATAGACTATGTTCAAAATATACATTTATTCTATAAGCAAAGCAGAAAATTAAAAAAAAAAAAAAAAAAAAAAAAAAAAAATATGTGGACATCAGGAAAATACGAGCATACTTTTGGCTTTAAATCTCATTACAATTATTAAGCAATACTAACACATTGTACTTATGATTCTATGTAAAATGTGCATTAATTACTTCCACATAAATATTAAAGAAAAAATATAAAGAAAGTAAAGACAAACCTCATCCTCCAACATTTTCAGAGTTTTCTCTTCAGGATCCAGTAAATCTGTAATCTTCTCATTATAAATTTCCATATAAGAAACTCTAAGCAGGAACTCCCTGTCTGGACTCTGAACATTCAAACAAACAATATTCACAAGTATTGTTCACTTTTTTGTTTTTTCATTTTTTTCAACAAATAAGAAAACTTAAAAATAATGCAAAATATGGAAGTTTCTATTTGTTTACTTTGAGAACAGCAACATACTAGAAATATTAAACTTGAAATTAGCAATGAAAAAGTGGGGATGGCAACATTTTTTCTAATTTGGATTTTTAATATTCTAATATTGCTTTTTTAGAATAGAGAAAACAAATTCTATTGCATTATTAGACAAAAAATAAGTAAATTGACCATTTATCTTTTTTTTTCCTGCATACTATCACCCTTTTACAGCTATATGCATGCTAGGAAGACCATCAAACTTATCTATACTTGAGAATCTAAAAAGGCGAGAATGCAATTGACACTTTGAATTTTGATTTTTTTTTTAGACTGAGTCTTTGCCATTCAAGTTTAAATAGTTCAGTCTGCCCCTTGGAGGAGATGAAATGAATTCATTGTTTTCTCAAAAGCACTAAATCAATGTGAACATGTGATGAAAGACATGGCTTATCTCGGAGTGGAAAATTTTGCAAATGTGTCTTGTTAAATAAACTCAGAAATCTAAAAGAAACATGATTATATTGATGCCAATTTATTTTTATTTCATCCAAAACGAGATGAATTTGCACACATGCAAATTTTGGCACAATCAGACTGGCATAAAAGGGTACCAAAATCCACGACTCAGGTTGATAAATCATTCGGCAGACTTTAATAGAGTTGGAATTTTGAATTACAGATGAACATTTTGAAGTTAATAGTAGGCATAGCTGAATTGGTGTTTTTTCACGATTTACAGATTAAAAGGCCGAAAAGGGAATCTGAAAAATCCATTTCCTTGAGACCAAGAAGACATTAAAGAAGAATAGCTGGTCTGCTGGCGAATGGCACACTGGGAAGTGACTCCCCTCTCGAAATTTTTTTCTTTTTTGTTTACTATAGAACACAACAGACTTGGATGGAATTTGAAGTAAGCTTATTGATTCTGATTTCTCAAACTGATTACGTTTTTACCCACACATGTATATTCTACTTAAAAAAAAAAAAAGAAGGTTGGTTACTAGTTTAGACATTTCATTTTTATTATGTTACGGATTCAGTTGTTGCAAGAATATGAGAGCTTTGGATGGAACTTTCTTTAAGAAACATCAAACATCATTGCTATATTCTAATCCTCTGATCTTAATTATGATTCTCAAAGACTGGAAATCTTGTTCAAAATGATAAACAATACTTACATTATTTATCTTTGTAAATATAGACTGGATTGCAAGAGGAATAATTCCCATTTGATTTTTTGTTCCTGACATGGTATATGTCTTTCCTGATGATGTCTGGCCATATGCAAAGATTGTTCCTATTAAAATAAGACATTTTAAAATATATTCATTAAAAGATTGATATAACCAGGGGATGGGCACTGAACTCAATGAAATTCATTTCTGAGATATGATTATTATTAGGGCGGGGAGATGAAAAACTGACATTAACAAAGTTCTTTTTGTTTATTGTTAATCAGAAAGATCGACAATAAACATGCATCGATATATAAATTGGCAATAAAAATGTGCCCATATATAAATTAATAATTGTATTTAAAGCCACTTACCATATTTTTATAAAGAAATAAGGTATAAATACATTTAAGTGTATGCAGAAGAACATATAGCTATGCAAAGCATTTGATAGACTACAACATAAAGATCTATTTGAACTGCTAAGAGAACTGGATTTATTTGGAAAAGATATTAGATTAATCCAGAATATTTTCATTCTTTACTGATGTGAAGTGAAAAGATTATTGAATCAATTGTTAGGTCTTCTGCTAGAGAAGTTGGTTCACTGTGTTGTGCTAGACAATTTTTCTCTCCAGAATTTATCTTACATATTTATAAGTCTATCATTTTAACTTACTTTGAATATTGCTACTACATCTGACCTGCTGTTCCTGCTATATATTTAGAGATTCTTGATAAAATTCAAAGAAAAATCTGCAATGTTATTGGTCCTGACTGGGCATCTTGACTTCAGTCACTTTCCCACCACCATAACATAGCTTCCCTTCCTCTATGAATACTTAAATATGGTAATTGTTCTGATGAACTTTCCTCTATGACACCTAGACATTATGAATTTAAGCACAGTACTAGATTAGCAGCAATGTGTCTCATTTTACAATTGAAGTGGCTACATGTAATGGTAATTTCTATGCTAACAGTTTCTTATATTGCTTTTTGCGAAAAGTCAATTTTGATCTTTAAAAATTTAAGTGCAACATCAATCATTATCTTTTGTCTTTTTAATTCCTGTTCTTTTATTGTTCTCTCTCCTTAATAGTGTTTTTCCCCTCATAATCTCTAACACTCAGTAATCCCCTTGTCTCTTACTGGCTATATTACCTTGCTTGTGAGCGAAATAGATTAAAAAAAGAATTACAGGGAGCAAACTGCTTGCATATTACAAAGAAAATGAATGGAGAAAGTACACAGAAATAGAAAGTGGTGTAAGACAAGGATGTGTCTTATAGACAGATTTATTTAACCTATACATCAAAGCAATCCTAAGAGAACTAGAAGTCCTGTCAGGATTTATTATCAATGAGCACAGTCATAATACATGATATGCAGATGACACCATGCTGATGGCAGACACAGAAAGAAAACTACAGGCACAGCTAGAAAACATAATAAAGGAAAGTGAGAAGACATCAATTGTAAGAAAACAGAATATATGGTTGTCAGCAAGACAAACATCCCAAGAGGTGAGCTACAAAATGGAAATGTCAAAATAAAGTAAGTATTGAAATTTAAATATCTAAGAATATCTATTTAACAAATGACAGAAAATGTGACACCAACACCTGAATGGAATAGTGAAAGAAACCTTTTAAAAGCTAAACAAAATATTAATAAATAGAAAAATGTTGTTAGAAACAAAGAGAAGAGTGATGAGTTATAAATCTTTTAATATACCAGTGACTGCTGGGCAGTTTTCTAACAGATAAAGAGACATGAAGCAACAAGTTCTATAGTAAGATGCTGAGAATAGCATGGAGAGAGCATGTGATCATTGAGGAGGTTTTAAGGAAAATGGAAACAAAAACAAAAAGGTCATTTAGAATAAAAGAGAGAGAGAGCTGAAATTTCTGGGGTGCCTAAGTGAAGCAGAGAGAAACAGTAAGTAACCTAAACAAGCTTTTGTAAATAGATGGCAGGCCAGGGGCTGGGAGGGATAGTAAAAAGACAAACATTGCTTAAGGCTACAAAGGATAGGAAGCTTATATACTGTAGCATTCTGAGCACTACAGAATATAAAGAACAACACAAAATATAAGCAAATCTAATAAAAAAAAGATCTTTGTACAGAGTTCAATTAGAAGTAGTAGAAAAAAAAATAATGAAAAGAAAGCATGTCAACACACTTACCATTGAATCCATCAATGCCAGCCAGAACAATGTCCTTAACAGTTTCTTCATAAATATCATATGTGCTTTCTTCACAATCATATACTCGATCTATAAGAAGAGAAAAATATATCATTTTTGTAGAAATTTATTACAAAGTAATTTTGTAGATTTCATCTTTTCATTCTCACTGTTCATAAAATTATCAAGTATTTTTTTTAATGAAATTTTACAATTCACAATATTTTAAAGATACCAGCTTTTATTTTTCCAGAAAAAAAAAAATCCTATTATCAGATTTATAGCTGTTTTACAGGTTTATTTTTCAAATTGACAAGATACTTAAAATTATGTCAAAAGACAGAGGGTGCATTGTTGTAGCAAGATACCAATTTAAATGAAGGTCTTTATTTTAACCCAATATATAGAGGTTTCTGAAAGAATATAAATTCATTTTAGTTGTAAAGAATCAGTTTGCAAATATTGAAATTATGAAGATAGAAAATTTAATAATTTTATGATGATCAGCAAAACTATTTTAGGTTTTAAAACACTGTGAAGAAAAAAGTTATTTAAATTCATAAAAAAATTTTCAAATACATTAGAAACCAAGATGTTCAAAATGACATACCAAAAACATATTTCTGATCAGTAGCTTTATTATCAATATAAAATATTGTTTTTTGGTCTGGCGTTTTCCATGCTAATGATTTTCCACTTTTTATTTCCCTGAAAATAAAATAAAAACATTTTTAAATTGAAAAGAAGAAAATTTTCATCAGTCAGTACAAATGAAACTTACTCTACTGAAAAAAATTCCGCCAGACAAAAGGAATCGATCATTTTTCACCAATGAATAAAGAAAATATCATCCCCCACCTGGCAAAATAAATAACTAAAACAGTAAAATAGTAGTGATTCATTAAAAGATTTTTTCCTACTATTTAATTTTTTTTTAATTATGTGTGAGATCTTGTAAAACAAAGCAATATTCATTTGTCTTTTCACCAAAAGCAAAAAATGAAAAATTATGGCAATCATTATACAAACTATCTGCCATTTTTTAAGATCTTTATGACTAAGTGAGCTCATGAGCTATACTGTTTCCCAAGTGAATAATAAAAGGTAACTTACCGTTCATTCAGAGGCCGAAGCCTGATAGCAACTTGAATATTGTCTGACATGTTGATATCAAACTGAAATGAAAAAGAATTTCCAAATTTACAAGCAAAATTTTCTCAGAGCAAAATATATTCAGTATGGACTCAGTAGAGCATTCTACTAAGTAACAAATTTTTTCTTTAATAAATTGCGAAAAAAAAAAAAAATAAATAAAATAAAAATTCATATGAGGGTGGTACTTCCACATTTCATAAAACGTAGAATTTATAGGTTGATGGAAATTAAAGGGATTATAAGTTCCAAATCATAATCAATACTGTTAGAAAAAAAAAGATTCAAGCAGAAATAATTACTGACTAAAAGTAAAGATTTTTTTATTAAAATTGATGTTAAATTTAACCAGTTGACACATGGCAAAAATAAAATCAGCACGTGGCAATAATTTGATTATAAAAAAACACTGAAGTATTGAAACATTTCTGTACATTTATGAAATACACTTATTTTTGTGGCCTAAAATACCATCCGAATATATACACAAACATTGTAAATTAAAACAATAGTTCAGAATTTGTAGTTTGATTGTTTATAAGAAAACCAACTAAAACATTTTCACTACAAATTCATGAAATATTCTGCATAGATGTGAAAGAAATTTTTTTTTTGTTCAAAAATTTGTTTAACATCAATTTTAATAAAAAAATCTTTACTTTTAGTCAGTAATTATTTCTGCTTGAATCTTTTTTGATGAATTGAATAAATTATTTTAAAAGCTTTATTAATTTCATGTTATTAGCAGATCAAAAGTTACAAGTGAAATTTGACAGAAACATGAAGTCGGTAACTAATAAACTCTCTTGGGTATTTATAGTGTACAAGATTTTTAACCATAAAAGAGCAAAAAGTAATGTATCCTTAAGAGAAATTAAAAAATGAATATTATTAGATAGTAGACTAAATAATGTGAAATTTTTGCAAGTACAGGATGAGATGGGTAAATTGACGGCATTTTATATTTTTAATTTTTCACATGTATGTTGTTTGTTTTTGAATTTGTAGACTGCACAGTATAGTAGGGTCAGTTGGGCACCCTCTAAGAAAAAGAACACCATAACATAATTCACTCTGCCAGAAATTTGGAAATGGCATGCTGTACTGCTTGGCATTCACACCATGAGTTCCAATTTGAACATTCCAGAGTGCTTGGCTGTCAAATCTGAGAACAGTGCAGAGTTGGATGAGTCTAATGGTGATTACAAAGGTACAGAAGCTTGGAAAACTCACCCTGATTGTTCTGATAAAGAATGAATTCCCGAATTTGTTGGTGAGAGCCTCAGACTCAACATGGAGGCCTACATCAAGTGACTTGAGTAGGTAGTGTTGCCTTGGATCAAGAAGGTAGCTGCTGGAAGACCCTGTGTCTGGCAACAGGACTCTGCACTGTCACACAAGCAGTATATTAAATGACATGATCAGAAATGAAAAGTTGACCCACACAGGACTTGATCTGGGCATGTCATTATGAAGAAGTTAGGTAATCTCATTGGAAAATGTTTGAAAATATTTATTATAAGAGTCAAATAAGAGTTTATGTAAGGTAAAAATCAATGATTCTCCTAATTAGACTTATTTTTTTTAAAAAAGAATGTGGTATTCTTTATTTACAACTAATTGCTGTCCTTCTCACAGGCAGGCTGACATCCCAGGCTAGAGAGCTAACTGGTAGGGGGAAAGGTAATTGATTAATTCATACTTTTCCTAAGGGTATTAGTGCAAAGTGAACAGATTAAACTGAAACTATCATCAATTCCATTTTATACACTAATAACCATCAATACTTTTCACTCCTCCTGGTCTCTCTACTATCAAGTCAGAAAATAGAAATTGAACACTGAACAGCACAGAACTGATATTTTTTGTTTTGTTTTTTATTGCTTTCCACTGATTTTTTTTTTTTATGCACTAAACTCTAAATGACCATTTACAGAATATCATGAGCCTTAGTTTCATGCTTCTAGCATAAGATTTAGCGTACATCCTAAGAGTTTATAATTGGGTTTTAAAGTTTATATATATTTTTTCTTTCAGGATACCAAACTAAAATTGCTATAATTCTCAACTTAATGTTTACTTTAAAAACAAACCAGAAAGCATTGTCATGTCAGCCATTATGGTCAATTCTTTTAAAATATGTCACGCCTTAATTATTTCTATCCAATAATCAAAAGATGAGAAAACAGCAGTGGCATAAGATAATGGAAATTCCATTGGTGTTGACAAGATTATCATATACCTCCCACACTGCTTTTCAATAACTCTTTGCTTGTATCTCCTCAATCTCTCCTTTGTCTCTTCCTATCTTTGTAGCTTGTGCTTTTTTTTATGCAAATATAAATATGACAGTCTTATATGCAAAAAAGGAATAAGAAATGTACAACTATTTTCTATTTTATTTTATTTCATAAAGAAATTTAATGGTTTTACTTCTTTTCATCTTTCACTTTCTCTTGAAGTCATCAAAATCCAGCTGTTTTTCTTTTATCTATATATGTAATGTACATGATTTATTTTTTCCCTTTTGACAATTTTTGAAAGTTTTTATAAGCATATTCACTGTTTTGGTTGACATTTTTTAATGCACAAAATAGTTGCATATTTTTCAATTTGAATCCATCTTTGGAATTTCCTTAAAAAAAATAATGTTTAAATTTTATTAATGATTTTTACGTGTAGTATTTACATAGAAGTCACATTATTTAAAACTTGACATTTCAATACACTACCTCAATTCTATTTTGAATATGAAAACATACAAGATTTGTTTTGACCTCTTTTTAAAGTTTTAGGTAGCTTACTAAAAGAGTTACAGAAACTCAAATTCATTTCTGAATTAAATAAAAATTCAGAAGTTCACAATTTGTTCCCTAGTTTTTTGGGTCTATTTTCTATTGGAATTGAACTAAAAAAAAACAAAAAAACAACACACCATAGAAATTATATTTCCTTTTTAAATCAAATGTTTAACTTTTTAGTTCTTGGTACACAAAATTGAATCTTTTATAATTCCGCTAATAACAATTTCAGCATATGATATTCAAATATCTTTTGTTGCGTAGAATAAAAAATTATATTCTTAAACTATTGATTGATTATAGAATTTATTTTTAAAGCAAACAATACTATTTTTTTATTATTACAGTGCTGGTGTTCTGTACTTCTGTGTTTTTAATTTTTTCGCGCATGGAAGTGCTAGTAAGTTATGAAATTACAAACTACTGTGTTTTGAAACGGTATTTTCGTTTTGTTTTAAGCAAAAAGAATTACTTTTGCAAAATCTAGTAAATTAATCCTTAAATTTACTAATTTACTTTCAAACATCTTTAGGGTAAATACTGGATTTTAAAAAGATTTTTTAAACTTGTTTACATTTTTCGCTAATGGCGGTTCGATGAGAGACGAGTGATGCTTTAAAATTTTTAAAAATTTTTTAATGTCTAAAAAAACTTTATATACAGAAATTATTTTTTCATTTTATACGGATTAGCTTTTTTTAACCTATCATTATTATTATTATTGTTGTTGTTCAAATAGAACTAAAATTTTTACTAAAAAGGAGGTATTAACATTATTTTAAAAATGTGTTTTACTTTTAACTCAATTTTTCAGTACCTAGAAGTTGTTAAAGAAAATAATTTTCAAAATTTATAAGAAAAACAAATTCACTAAACTGAATTTTAAGAATTGTTGAAAATCATATCGACAAGTAATAAAATAAAAACTGAGTATGAAAACAAGCAAATTATGTAGAAATAAACTAATTGCTAAAAAAAAAAAAAAAAAAAAAAAAACACCACAGAAGTACAACACTAACTAACAGTAACATTTTTATTTAATTAAATT